TAATATTTTATCATATTATTATAGACTAAGTTTCTATTTACCACTTTTTTTTGTACATATAATTAGTTACCGTGTGATTTAGACGTACATTTATTTATTTTTTAATAAGAATCGGTAGAGACATCATCCTCTTTTTAAAAAGAAATAAACTTCATCATCAATAAGACAAACAAAACATAAGTTATCCACACCCATGTTGTTACTATTACTCATTTTATTAAATTTTATAACTTTATTCTTAAACAAATCTCTCTCTCTCTCTCTATATATATATATATATCAAAGTTTCACTAATTAGATTTTATTATTGTTTTCGAATTATTTGAATATATTTGTTGATTATTCTATTAACAACTAACATATATTTATATAAACAATCTTCGGATCATTAACCAAAATACTCATATTACCGTGCAATGCATGGTTCCCACACTAGTTGCCTTTAAATGGCAACTTGTGAATGTGACAAGAATCTAGGTTTTTCAACCTTATATTCTTTTTTTTATTAATGTTTTTATTATTATTATTTTTAAATCATTTTATATTATATTTTAATAAATCTATAGAGTATATAAGTTAAAATTGATATAAAAAGTATAAATTAATAATTATAAAATATATTTATTAATTTTGTTTTGCTTTTTCCTACATTCCATAATGTATCGTCAAATTTTTTTCAAAGTGTTAGTCAATCTTCAATTTTTATTCCTCATCTTCGGTATTGAAATTAATGAGGTGGGGGCACGTTGGATGGGACTTGGAGGAGGGAAGCATACGGTCATATGGGACTATGGGGAAACCATGTAAGACGATGGTGAAAATAGAAAATTTAAGTTAGTCAATAAAAGTTTTTTTATTTTTGACTGGGGGCGTTTCCCCTGATGGTTAATGACTGGATCCGCCCCTCCGCCCCTCTTTAAAAGTTTATTCGATAATATATAAGAGACAAAACTTCAACTTAACATCACTGGTTACAAGGAGTTGCTACAACAAGGGTAGGACATTTCTTACGAGCAGTAAKACCACTCGTCTCAYTCATGTCCACACACTCTCCTTCAACCAAGGCCAAATCAAACTTATACACCAAATTAGCCAAAACAAGCTCGTTAATAACCATGGCAAACTGAATGGCGGGACACCCTCTTCGTCCGGCACCAAATGGTATGAAGTCGAAATGAAACCCTTGGTAATCGATAGGACTATTCAAGAACCTCTCTGGMTTAAACACATTYGGTTCCATCCATGTTGAACTATCTCTTGCTATTGACCAAGCGTTGATCAACACTTGTGTGCCTGCTGCTATGTCGTAGCCGAGTAGTTTGACGTCTCGTGTTGATTCATGAGGAACAAGCAACGGGATAGGAGTATGTAGCCGTAGGGTTTCTTTGAGAATGGCTCTTAGGTAGGCCATTTTGTCTAAGTCGTCTTCGGTTATCATTGTTCTCCCTTGGCCTATTTCCCTTGCCTCTTGTTGCAGTTTTTTCATTGCTTGTGGGTGTCTTAATAGCTCACTGATTGCCCACTCTAGGTTTGTGGATGTAGTATCCGTTCCACCAGAAAATACATCCTGCAAGAAATAAAGAACAAAAAGTAGATCCATTCAATTCAAGAAACCCATTACTGAAATCTAAAATTCACCTCTAAAATCTTGTTTACTGCAAATAGTGTGTAATTGTAACTACAGAAAAATGTTACCATGATAATAGCTTTGATTTCATCTCTTTCAAGATGAAAACCTATTGTGTCCTTTTTTTCAAATTCTAACAAGATATCAACAATATCTTGGCCTTCAACATCAACCACTTTCTTGTTTACATGTTCTTCGAAGACATCCTCAAGAAATTCATCGAATTCTTTAATAACATCATCAGCTCTTCGCTCTAATCCACTCAAACGATCCACCCACATTAACGATGGAATATAACTTCCGACACTAAAACTTCCTAGTAACTCCAAAAACCTWKCTAACAWGTCYTTAAACTTTGKCCCATCATATGTCCTCCCAAAAGCCACCCTACAGARGACATTATTYGTAAGAGAAATAAGCARCTCACTCAARTTAACCACYGATCCATGGGTTTCTTGAATCKTTYTAATCAAAAGAGAYGTCTCTTCYTTCCGYACATGYCTGTATGATTGAACCCTTTTGTTGSWTAAAAGATGWAGCACYRCRATACTCTTYGCTTGCCTCCAATACTYTCCATATGGGGCAAAWGCTATGTCCTTAGAACCATAAGTTACTCTACTAGGGATGTTTAATTTTGGCCTGTTTGAAAAGATTAAATCATGGGTTTTCATAATCTCTCGAGCTGCATCAGCAGAGGAGGCTATAAGTACCGGCATAGTGCCGAGGCGAATCAACATAAGTTGACCGTAGGTTTGTGCCATGGCGTGGAGTGCACGGTGTGGGCTCGAGCCAAGTTGATGCAGGTTTCCTATTAGTGGTAAACTTGGTGGAGATGGTGGTAGATTTTTGTGAGGGTTTGAACAAGATAAAAGTGATTTGTAGAGAAGTATGAGCAAAATGGAAAAGGAAATAGAAGAGAGAAGCAAAAACTGAAAGGTGAGAGACATTTTCTTGATGTTGGTATCAAAGCTTGAAAGAAACAATCAAATGCTACTTATAGTGTAGATAATATGAAACTCCACACCTTTGTTTTGCTTAATTTAACAAAAAACGGTCTGACAACTTTAAGAGTCGTAGAATTTTGTACACATAAATATAAAGTGATAACATATGACACTGTATGCTAAAAGCTACGTTCTTTGGACCGCGATCTTATCTTCTCCAATAGTCGTCTATCAGTACCCCACACTAGAGATGGCCAAATTGGCCCGGCCCGGCCCGGGACCATCGGAGGACCGGGACCGGGACCGACAAAGGACTGGCCCGGGATCGGGACCGGTAAGGACCAGTTATGGGACCGAAAACCGGGACCGGTTGAGGTTTTTGGTAGTTTCGTGGGACCGGGACCGGTTATGGGACCGACTAGGGACCGGACCGGCCCGGCCTGAAAATTCAAATAATTTTATAAATAAATGTATTTTTAAATAATTTTATAATGTATTTTTATAAGAAAACGTAATTTTAATTATATTAAAACGCATTTTTAATGTATATTTGAGTGACCCAATTGTAAATTTTATAATATATTAAAAATATATATCATTAAAAAAATAAAAATAAAATATCTTATTTTTTTAATGCAAGGACCAGTTGGGACCGGGAAAGGGACCGGCGTCCCATAACCGGTTATGAAGTACCTTGACCGGTCCTATCATTTTCGAACGGGACCGGGATCGAGACCGGGACCGGTTATGAGAATGGTGAGAACCGATTAGGACCGGGCCGGGACCGGTTTTTAACCATCTCTACTCCATACTGTATGCCTCCACCTTTTATTGTGATAAGACTTTGAAAACGACACAATTATTTTGTATATAGTCTTCGTTAGTTGTCTTTAAATTGGCATGTGGCTTGTACAACAACTTGTGGATGGTAATGAAACTTATAAACACAACACATGGTTATGGTGCATCCTCGATTAATCAGAACATTTTAAACAGATTCTTTAAAACCTGATTCAAAATGATGAAAGTAAGGGGTTTGTTAACAGCTTAACGAGACTCACAACTTATTCGGTCAGCTATAAGTGATTATTTGGTAATGGCTTAATGATATAGAAGGTGACTTATTTAGTAAGCTTCTAGAGGGAGCTTTATRCAGAAATATATGGTTTTTTCCAAACGTACTCCTCCCTATTAAAAAAACATGCCCCTTACATTTATGGAAAACAAAATCCTCTGAAACAAAAAAAAAATTCAATCTATACAGACAACTTTATCCATTTAAGACTTGATTAAAAACCAGCCAAAAAGACTCTAATTCTTGCCTACAAGATGATATTTCCCTTGCATGCTATAAAAGTAATTCTCTTTGATGGTTGATTTTTGAACGTTATTTTATAGCAAACTAAACGATATTCTTACAAACGTATATGCCAAAAAGAGGATATAGTTTGCAAAAGCGGGTTATTTTGGATGAATAAATGTAAATGCAAAGCGAAAACCCATCAAACCCTAGATTATTTCTTTTTGTTCAAAATTGTTCGTTCWTGCAAAATCTTATATTTCGTTTTGCAAGAAGGATATATGGTTCGTTTGCAACGAAAAACTAAGAGGCGTTTACCCAGTTGTTTATCCGGTAAGCGCTTACCTATAGGAGTCGACACTATGATTTATTTTGATGTGTCAGATTTTAGTATACCAAAACATATCGAATGCAACAATTTAGTGGGTAAGCGCTTATACTAGGTAAGAGTCGTTATTCTCACTTACCGGGTAAGACTCTCCATCATTCTCATCGCTCTTACCCGGTAAGATTTTTGACCCTTCTCATGTTCATCCGATGAGGAAATTTATCCGGTAAGTACTTACCAAGTAAGTGTTTAGTAAACGGCCCCYGAGTCATTTACTCATTTTTCAAAAAGATAATTGATTTATCGATGTCAAATCAAAAACTCGTTTTCAATTAATTTTCACTTTATGTTAATTAAGTTCAAACATATAAAATGTATCACTCAATTGAACTTTAACAAGAAGATCTACAACAGATATGCTCTTGATCAAAAGCTCTAGAGTTGACAATAAAAAGTCAAATGGTAGCTATTTCATGATTGTTGAAAGAGAAAGCATACATCAATTCACACACAAACATGTATATATATATATATATATATATATATATATATATATATATATATATATATATATAGGTGGAAGTTCAAACGAGAACCTCTGTGATTTACGAGAATGCAAGAACAACCCACTAACCTCAAACTTTACCTTGTATAATTCTTATCAAAGGGCCTTTGGCCTAGCGGAATTATAGTCTTTGGCATCCTAAAAGGTCAGGAGTTCAAACATCACTAAAGATGGGAAGTGTGTGTGAAGAATAGGAACAAACTTATTGGATAATACATTGACTTAATATKGAAGCTTCAACAAAGCATTTTTACTCAGACGTCTGAATAAGGAGTTGCTGTAACAAGTATAGGATGTTTTTTATGGGCAGTAAGACCAGTAGTCTCGCTCATGTCCAAACAGCCCCCTTGAGGCAAACACAGATCAAACTTAYACACCAAATTAGCCAAAACAAGCTCGTTAATAACCATGGCAAACTGAATCGCAGGACATCCTCGTCGTCCCGCACCAAACGGTATCAAGTCGAAATGAAACCCTTGGTAACTGATASGACTGTTCAAGAACCTCTCTGGCTGAAACTCATTGGGTTCTGTCCATGATGAACCATCTCTTCCTATYGCCCATGCATTGATGATCACTTGTGTGCCTGCTGCWATGTCGTAGCCGAGTAGTTTGACGTCRTGTGTCGATTCACGAGGAACAAGCARCGGGAATGGAGGGTGTAGTCGTAGAGTCTCTTTCAAGAYTGCTCTTAGGTAKGGCATTTTGTGTAAGTCGTCTTCGGTGATCATTGTTCTTCCATGGCCTGTTTCTCTTGCTTCTTGTTGTAGCTTTTTCATTGCTTGTGGGTGTCTTAATAGCTCGCTGATCGCCCACTCGAGGTTCGTGGATGTAGTATCAGTTCCAGCAGCAAATACGTCCTGCAAGAAATCAAGAACAAAAAAGGCCTTGTTGAACCTTAATTTTCGCCTTCAAAACCTTTGTCAGTTGTCTGAAGGTGTTGTAATAAGTTTATATGATGCTTTTGGACGTCTTAATAAGTTTTTTAGGACATTTTTAATACAAAGTGTCATATTAGCAACTTTATAGGACACTTATGAGAAAGTGTCCTATATATAAACTCGATTTTTTATAGGACATTTGTTTTTATAGGGTAGTTTTTCAAATAGTGTCTTATAAAGTTGCTAATGAGACGCTTTATATTAAAAGTGTCATAAAAAAACTTATTACGACGTCAAAAAACGTCATATAAACTTATTACAACGCCTTTACATATGACGCTTTATTTTTTTGGTTCTATAAACTAAGTCTTATAAAGAGATCTATTAGGACACTTAGAAATTGAGAGTGTCCTATAAACCCTATTTTCTTGTAGTGGTAACGATAAAGAAACGTTACCATGACGATAGCCTTGATCTCGTCTCKTTCAAGACGAAAACCCATCGTACGATCTCTTTGAATTTCTAATAAGATATCAACGATATCTTGGCATTCAACTTCAACCGCTTTCTTGTTTGTATGTTCTTCGATAACATCCTCAAGAAACTCATCCACTTCWTTAGCAACGTCGTGGGCTCTTYGYTCTAACCCACTCAACCGATCCACCCACGCTAACGACGCAATATAAGTCCCGACACTAAATTTTCCCAACAACTCCAAATGCCTTCCGAGCAAGTCCTTAAAATTCTTCCCCTCGTATGTCCTCCCAAAAGCCACCCTACAGACAACATTATTCGTAAGAGAAACAAGCAACTCACTCAAATCAACCACCGATTCACCGGTTTCYASAATCTTTCTAATCAAAACAGAYGTTTCGTCTTCGCGCACTCGTYGGTACGAYTGAACCCTTTTGTTGGTTAACAGATGGAGCACTGCAATGCTCTTTGCCTGCCTCCAATACTCTCCATACTGCGAGAAGGCTATGTTTTTGGAGCCATAAGTAAGTATGCTGTAGATTTTGATCTTGGGTCTGTTTGAAAAGATCAAATCATGGGTTTTCATAATCTCGCGAGCTGCATCAGCAGAGGAGGCTACGAGTACCGGCACAGTACCGAGGCGAAGCAACATGAGTGGTCCRTAGGTTTGAGCCATGGCCTGGAGGGCATGGTGTGGGCTTGAGCCGAGTTGATGCAGGTTTCCTATTAATGGTAACCTTGGTGRAGATGGTGGCAAGTTTTTGTAGGGTTTTGAAGAAGACGAAAGTGTCTTGAAGAAAAGGAAGATCAAAATGGAAAAGAAAAGAGAAGAGAGCAGGAAAAAGARGAAGGTGAGAGACATTTCTTGATGATGGTGGCAAATCTTGTAAGAAACAAGTAGGTGTTTTGGTGTTTTGGTGTTTTGCTACATATGGTATGTAATATAAAGGTCAAAGTCTCCCATTTATATATAAATTCGTAACTTTAGATTTTCGTGAGATCAGTCTGTTTTTATGAGACCTATGAAACCATTTTTTTATATTTAAAAATTTACAGCAAAATGTTGTGAAGATAAAAAAAATCGAACATTTACAACGTTTTGCTATAAAGTTTCAAATGTAAAAAAGTGGTCTCACGAAAAAAGRCTAGTCTCACGTGATCTCAAGTCTATTATAACAAATTGAATTATATCTTCGATTACAACATATTTTGAACCATTTATCTACGGATATATATACTTCATCAAACATTGTATTTCTATCAAAACAAAACGATTAATTTTAGTAGGAAAATCGGAATATCGTCAAAATGGGAGCGAATCTCATAAATTAGTTATAATTTTTGTTTTTGAAGACAAAAATTTATGGCAAATTATATGAAAAAGTAATGTATTTTAACGTGATTCCTATGTCAAGTAACGTATTTTCAAAACTTTTATTTTGGTATCTAAGATGTAAAGTTTTAAACATTTAAATACTCGGGTAAACAATTGAATCATTAACCATTTACCATGTTGATGTAGCGAGTGATGTGGTACTCAACTCAATATTAGTTGTTATTCAACCTAATTTCTTCCCATCATTCGTCATATCAGCATGGTAACTGGTTAATACTTYAACCAGTTACCCGAGTACTTAAATATTWAAAAWTTTACATCTTAGGTACCAAAATGAAAATTTTAAAAATACGTTATCTAAAATAAGAATCAAATTAAAATACATTATTTTTTCATAGAATTTATCCAAAAATTTAAGCATTTTAATTAAACACGTGTATTAACTATACCACACTAATTGCTTCWGTCTTTATGATGACAATGACTTGAAAACACCACCATTGTTTTCTTCATCATCAATTGCCTTTTAAATCGCAACTTGTGAATGTGATAAGAATCTAGTTTTTTGAACAATAACCTTATATTTTTTTATTCTTTTTTTTTATTTTTTTTAAATCATTTTATATTATATCTTAATAGATCTATAGAGTATATAAGTTAAAATTGATATAAAAATATAAATTAATTTTGTTTTTTTTTCCTACATTTCACAATATATCCTCAATTTTTTTCGAGTGTTACTCAATCTTTAATTTTTATTCCTCATTGTTGATATTTACAAATTAAAATTAATATAAAAAAAAGAAAACTAATAAATTGCATTTGATTTTTTAATAATTTTATAATATATATATATATATTAAATTTATATATAAAGTTACATTTTAAAAATAAAATTGGAAATAAAGGTTATAAAGTATTATTGATATTTTTGTTTTGTTGATATGATAATAATGTAGGTGGAGAAAATATAGAAAGTGGACTTCTTTAAGTTTCCACATTGTGAATAACAACAATTGTCATCTAATACACATTTGTTTTCTGTTGTTTAACTGTTACCGAATGGTTTTGTGCAGAATTATTAAGAGACTCTTATGATATAATGTAAA